ATTTACTATTTGAGCATTTATTTTAATGTAGTACTATAAATTTATTAGAAGTTGCTTAATTTCAGATACTTAGTAATATTAGAGGTTGCTTATTTTTAGGGGTTGCTTATTTTCAAAAGAATACGGTAATATCAAAGACAATCTGCATATTTAGAAAAGCATGAACATTTGCAAGATATTCAGTTCTGAAATAAGTTTTAATTAAATTTCCTAAAAATATAAAATAAAAATTTAATTGTCATTATTCATTATAAATATTTGTACTAACTTTAAAAATTGTATTTATATCATCAATTACCAGTTAATATATGAATTAGTATAACATTTATAGTATTAGCATCTGCTTATTGAATTGTTCTTGTAAATGAATACGAATAGAAATTAGTATACTGTTGGGCAGTGGTGGTGAATGAGAATGAACATCTCGAGATATCAAAATTACAAATGGACATTTTTCTAAATTAATAGAAATTAATTTAGAAAATTTAACATTACAAGATTTTTGAATAATTGATTCACGTTTAATAGTATTTTCCACATGATGAGGATAAGCTATTAAAAAATAAAATTATATATAGATAATTAATTAATAACTTTAAAGAATGATAACTAGTAACTGAATTTAATAATAACTTACGACAAAGTTTTTTTTAGAGCTATTATTTAATACAATAAAACAGTTATTTACTGATTCGTCTGTTTCACCCTAAAATAAGTTATATTTTAACTGAAGTTAATACATTTATAAAATACAAAACATATTAGAAAGATAAAAATTAAACCTCATATAATTCACTTAAAAGTTGTTGAAGTAAATTAAAGTCAACATTTTCTTTAATACTTATATACCAGTGAAACTTTTCATTGAATTCCATCTATCACAACCAATAAAATAAGATAGTGATATTATTTCATCACGACGCTTTAGACATTTTAATACAGGCATTTCAATGCATTTTATGTTATCCTTTTTATAACGACATTCAGTTTGAATTGCTTATAAATATATACTAAATAAAAAATTTTAGCCAGTTAAATGCATTAATATGGTACAAGTTACACAATTTTAAATTAATTTAAAATATATATTTATGCAAAAGTATTATTTTCTATATTATTACTTGATAATTTCTCATTCACTTTTAGACGTAAATCAGAATCAAGATCTACAGACTTGTATTCTATTTCCTGAAGTTTTGGACTTGCAAATTCACATATTTTAAGTCTATGATATGTTCTATCTTTTTTATTTACGGTAATATTACCAAGATAATTACAGATTGTCAAATTTTGTCCAGAAGGTTCACCCATAAGATACTGCTTGTTGGTAGATATTCAATAGGAGTTAATGAATGCAATACAGTTTTAATAATTATTTGTTTCGTAATATATATTTCAGTATCTTCCTCCAAATCAAAGCGTTGTATTATTTAACTAAATCAACCAATATTTTTTATTATTTCATATATATCTATAAAGTAAACATGATAATAATAAAATACCTTCATATTTAAGTCTTCTTCATAAATAATATCTTCTTCATTAATAATAACTATAGATGACATTTTTAATTATTATTTAATGTGAACTGAATTGTTGCAATAAAAGGTATTTGAACGCATGAGAATTTTTTTATTTTCTCTTACTTATATCATATTTTAATATCACGTTATGATCTGTGACATTGTATCACTAACTTTATCAAGGGGTATTACATTAATATTCTTAATATTTTGCAATACAACACACAGTATTTGTTTCACAAATCATATATTACTCCTCTTATTCATATATGATTCGAAATGCACCTATGTAATCCTCCATCCTTTTAAACCACTTTCAACAAAATTAAAAAGAATAGAATCCCGTATATATGTTAATTATTTTTTTTTCTCTATTATCCTATCATTGTAGCTATGTATTATCAATTTATTTATTAGCTTATCATCAGAATATCCTTTTGCATTATCTTGCATGCATTAATAATAAGAAATACCTATATTTATAATAAACTGTTTATCAAGATATTTCTGAATTAGTTTACCATCCACAATTTTTAGATTAATTATCCCGTTATGTGATATCACTAGCATCAGATATGAACTTGCTAAGATTATTGCCATATGCACTGCCTAAAAGGTTTCAGTTGTATCAGATTACCGTTAGACATATATATTATGATAGTCATCGACGTTTAGTATAAAAGCATTTTCTGAATAATATTCGAGAGCATTCTCCACATATTCTTTATGTGCATCAAACATTTGTTTCTTCTTCTGATCTATTGATCTTAACATTATAGTCACCCTAAGATTTACCATAGTATTCAATCTTTCATTACTTGTTCTTGCTAAATCTAGATAATAAGCTAAATCAAACTTGAAAGCAGTTATTTTTGTGTTATTTAATGAGAAAAGAAGATAACAAATAAATAACATTATTTTTTTCATATAATCTATCGTTTAATTGCTATGTTTAGAAGGTCAGGCTACTATATAAAGTTGTTCAAAGAAATCTTTTAAAGCAGGCTCAATTTCTTCTATTAAATTCTCGCATTTCATCAAAATTATAAATGGGATTCTCTTTCTGCACATATTCTCTTTCATATAGAACTTTTGCTATTGTTTTAATAACTTCTAAAAGGTTAAGCTTTATTCTAAGCATACTTACTTTTTCTTTCTCTGTAACTTTTTTTCGTTTAGGACCTTTTTTCAAAGGATTTTCTACTAAATTCATATAACAGCTACTATACAAGATAATACCTTTCCACTAAGTTTCCTTCGTTAGACCTTTACTCTCAGCTTCTCTCCATTTCTCCTTCTTTAATGAATAAAATCTACTCAATTCAGTGGCTTGGCATTCATTACAATTCCTTTTTCAGACATATTAAAAGTGGTTGGATTCAAATGGATTCACTTGAAATTATTAATCTATAGTGTCAAAAGCTTCAGAAATGCTTAACATCTGTGCACTTTTCATAGGATGAATATGCTACACAAGCTTTTTAAAAAAGTATTGTAAAATGTATAAAAAATGATCTACTAAATTGTGTAATATACCTTCCTTATATGGGATACGATTACTCCTGAAATTCAGACTGTATTATTTAAATTATATGTGATAATTAGATCATATCATTTAGATTATATGCGGTATTCAGATTCTATGTGTTATTTAGATTACATGCGATATTCAGATTATATGAGATATTTAGATCATATGTAATATTTAGATTATATATGATACTATAATCTAGGCTAAGTGGAATATCACATGTAATATAATTTATATTATATGTGATATCCTACTATTCTGATTGTGGATATTTTTATAACCCTTTAATCATTAAGGGAATTCTTACATCATATGTAATTTTAGTATCTGATACAGTTAGTAGTATTAATTTTGTCATTGATTTATTTAAAATTTAGCAAGAAATTTAGACTTTAGTAAAATAGCGTATAATATTGAATATATTACAATACATGATCAAATAACATGTAATCACATATTTTAAGAATTATCTGTATACTTTATGTATTAATATCACTATTTATCTGTATTAATTTAGAACTAAATCAATCTTTTATAACATGTAAAATTTTATTATTATAACTAATTAGTACATTTTTTTTAGTACTTACTGATTTACTAGTGTGATCACAAGATTTATATAATTGTATTATATTATATATAATTTACAGTATTTTAGTAATGTTATTTAAATAAAAGTATTTTATTTGACAAATTTATTCTATTATTTTGAATTTTAATGAATTGTTTTATTTTTTATATGATATTTATTTATTTTATATTTGTTTATTTTATTACAAATATATATTTTAAGTCAAATAAATACTACCTTTTTTTTGTTAATTTTATCTAATTGAATTATGTAAAAAGATATAAAGATCTGTTTCTAAAATAGTAGCTAACTTTTAATACTCTAGAATAATTTTAGGATCAATCATAAAAGCTAATTTGTCAAGATAAGATATCTCAAGTAAAGCACCTGTTAAATATAACATAAATCTGACTAGAAGCAAAATGTTTCTATCTAATATAAAGTAAACGCTTGGTAGAATTAATTCTTAGATTTTGTGAAATATCAAGACTAAGATTGCTAAATAAAACTTAAAGGTTTTGTAAGTCATCTAATGAAAAAAGATAAAATTTAGTAAAATTATATTAAAATCTTATTAAAAAATCTGCGAAATTCTGAAAAAGATAAAACTATATCAAAGCTTATAAAAATATAAAACTAAATCAAAACCTTAGTAAAAAATTAATAAAACTATAGTTTAGATATTTTTTAAATCCAAATGAGTTTAGACAAGCAACTTTAGTCAAGGTGAATGAAAGTAATTATACCTACAATACTATTATAAATATTTTGATTAATTAATATTTTATTAAGATATATAACACAGACATCTGGTTATAAATATACACTTAATAAAAGGTTTATTTTTGCTTTGAATATTTTATTAGAAAAAGAGTTAGCCTAATCCATAAAACTAATAAAGTCTGATACTTATGAAATATAAAAATGATTATGTGAAATAAGAAACATATTGCAAATTATTTTGTTGATCTGTTATATATTTTTCTTAAAATCTATAATATTAGTAATATTAAGAAGTATGTCAATTACAGGATGAGACAAAAATTTTGAATGATGTTATTGTAATGTATTTTAGGTATTTTCTAAGATATTGTCTATACAAATTTCTTCTAACATATAAAAAAATTTTATATTTACCTGCTGACATTATGAGATTTTTAGAAAAAGAAGATAAAATAAATGCCAAACAGTAGTTTGACATACATGTTATTCAGTTACAGGAGAAGTTAAATAAAATCATTAACAATTATAATATTTATATCATTATAAACAATAGTATTATCATGAAGAGATGCAAAAATATCAGAAATAAAATCAAATATTTTCACAGAAGTTATAGAAATCACATTGATAATAAGGATATCTATAGACTTTTAGAAGTTTTTTAATTCCTTATTAGCAAAAGTATTTGTGTAAAAATTATTTGAAGATGATATGATATATAATTCTAAATAAATTATTTTCTACTTATATTTTTAAGTAATTATTCTAGTTAGGGTTAATAAAAGGTATTTGAAAATTTTTGATTAAGCATATTGATAATTAAATTAATAATATAAGACTATTCTATGTCTTCTGATTTTGTAATAAAATAATAAGGTCACTTTATTCTATCATTCTTTTTCATATATATAAAAATAGTCAATAAGATATAATATTGATCTTAGGATAATTTAAGTATAGCTATTTTAGGTAAATATATGAAAGAATTTTAAGTTTCTATTTGAATTTGAATAATATGAAAAGGTTTGCAAGAAGTTGTTGGTATAAAATTTATAATAATCTGTTTAACATTTCTAAAAATTGGGTATTTTAATAAATTATTTAAGATTGATATATAATTGTAATATTATTTACAGGTCATTTAGGAAATTAGAAAATAATGATAAAAACAAATCACAATAAGTTTTTCTTTTATAATATAATTGATTCACTTCTTGTAAAAACATTTGAAAGTAGTTTTTGGTAAAAGTAGAACTCTTTATCTTTTAATTTAAGAAATTAATATCTTATTAAAATGTCTTTTATTCTCTTTATTACATAATTATTTAAAAGATCATGAAAAATCTATCATGATATAGTTTAAGAGAATGAAGGAGTAATAGAATATTATTCATAATATTGAAAATAAGTAAGATTTTTCATTTTTATCTAATATATAGATAAGAAGTATTACATATAAATGAATAAAAAGAGATTTAGTAATGTGACTGGATGATCAAAATGTGATTGATCTACAGTACATGATATAATTTAAGTAATAATATAATTGATATAGTTGACAAAATTAACATATCAAGTATATTTAATATATTTTATATGTTTAATATAATTAATATAGTTAATTTAGTTAATTTAGTTAAAATAATTGAAATTGTTAAAATTGTTAAAATTATTAATATAGTTAAAAAAACTAAGATAGTTAATATATTATTCTATACAGTCAACTCTTGTTATAACGAACTCTATGTCCTAGACCTCAACTTCGCTATAAGGTTATAGTGAAGATTTTAAGAGATTTGATTGGCCAATTCGCTATAACATGAGTATTTTTATTATATTTGTTCAAAAAATTCGTTATATCAAGAGTTCGCTATATCAAGAGTTGACTGTATACATATATAAGACTCAGTTATTTAAACTTTTCAAATAGATTCAGAATTAATTACACTTAGTAAACTATTAAATAATACTTAGTTTCATTTATTATATTTATCTTTCGTTAAATAATTTCTTCTTACATTTTCAATAAACTATTTTTATCATAAACTATCAATTGTGTAATATTTTAACTACAAGTATTTGTACATAAATATTTAATTTAATATAAATATTATTTAGTATAATCATATATTTTACTATATAATATAGTCTGATACAGTGTATAAAATTTAGACCAAAAGTTATATGTACAAGTTATACTAAAAATAGAAAATTAAT